CTAAACCTTAATCTAATTACAGTAACGCCCTAACGGCCTGGGACCATAATTTTTTTTTTCTTTTTTCTTTTTTCTTTTTTCGGTCATAGTAGAACTATAGAAGGACCCAACAATATGCCTTTTATTATTTTATCGTTTAAGATGAACGATTTGAATGTACATAGACCAAAATGAACGAAGAAACATAGTATACGGACTTATATTAGGCTTTAACACAATTAATGTTAATTTTCCATTTTTCCACCGCACACGTGGCGCGTGGTCTTGACCCGACTGTACTTGAAAACTTCTACGCAGTTGAACGGGATTCTATTTTAGATTTGGGACAGAAGTTAGCTCGTCCTTCACTTTATCTCTTTCTCTTAACCCTAATGTCTTCCCTGTTTTCAACAACCCAACTTCTCCCAAATCTCCGTCTTCTCACCGTGAAACTGATGGGATTCCGTTCTTCCATGTCAAGATCGGAGTACAGATCCAGAGAGGATTTGCGGTAAGTGAAGAAGAAGAAGAAAAGAATGTCTCTTTGTCAGATCTGTTCGAATTTTGACAAGATCTAGGAGGGAATGACCCGTCCTTGAATTTCTTTTCAGGTGAGCGTTAGATCTATCTAATCTCTTCCCGTTAAATATATTTATTGAGAGTGGTGTTTTTTTATGTATATTTGTGTATATCTTGTTATTATTTATGGTTTATGGTATTACTTTCTGGCAGTAGTATGGAGATTCTTGTTTAAAAAGGTTTTGTCATGCTTCATCTGAGTCTGATTATAGTTAGCTGCTATGTATGTCTGTAGGATTAGTGATCTCTCCAGATTTTTGGAAAATGCCTCTATACAATTAGCCTTTTTAAATGAGAGGTTCCTGCATCCTAAGATGCAAGTGAATATACCACTAAATAAAAAACATACCACTAAATAAAAAAGGAGAATGCTATGAAGAAGAGATGGAATATTGCTTGTATATAAAACAATAATATTTTTAGAAGTTGGGTTAAAACTGTTTCTGGCCTATCATATGTGAATGTATCAAAAAAACCTGTGAAATGCATCACCAATTTGTATCTGTACTCAACATGTCGTATGCTAGTCTAGGTTCAACACTCATGTCCAGACCCTTTTTAGTGTCTACTTAAGTTTCTCCAACATCTTTAGGACATCCTTCATGTGTGGCCTCTTTCCAGGGATAATGTCACAGCACTTCTTGATCAGATCTGTAATCTCAATTGCTGTCTCCTCTGAACACCCGGTCTGGAGTAATTTTCCATCTACTACATGACCAGGTTGTCGATTTGCAATAGCAACTATGTGTCCTGGGTCTTCTGAATGTTTGTCATCTCGCACTGCTGACTTTCCCCTCCTAGTGTTCTCTTGTGGATATCTTACCACGTCACACTTCATCAGCAGTTGGAGTGAGGTCACTCCAAAGTTGTAGACATCAACTTTTGGGTGTGCATTTCCTAAAACATTGAGAAAATTTAAATTATTAAATTATATGTGCATAATTAGAAGAAGAATGAAAGCCATGAAATACTGCCCAGTTGTATAGATTCTGTAGAAAGAACCTGTTCTGCAGTGATTTCAATAAACATTATCAATTGAAAACCCAACACCCCCACCCCCAAAAAAAAAAAGCAGCTACAGGTGACCATTGAGGTGTAGTCTTTCAGCAATGCTCCAAGAAATAAGTTGCAAAGGCTGTCAGGTCTCAACATTACTTATAATCTAGCAGTGTTCGTTTTCTGATCACCTAGTATTTTCTATCATTTTTAGTTGAGTAAATAAGATTAGTAGAACTGGAAAAGCATCACTTGCATAGGTGGTTTTAGCCTTGTAGTTTAGCCAATCTTTACTTGCCTCTTCACATTTGGGCTTTGCTGAAGAGGCAAGTAAAGATTAGAGCGTGGCCGTGGTGGTAAATCTTGAATTTTAAGAATACCAGATGAAAAAGGAGGAAAGAAAAACATCTATGCTGGGGGAGCATTTAATATTCAGCAGAGTTAAAAGTTGTTTATATGGTAAATTTTGGTCCTTAAGTTTCTAACATGAAGTTTTGTTCCAGGAGAAGTGTGCTTAACATGAGTGAAATTATTTTTAGAGGATCAAGAATACAAGGTGGTTATTCTAGGAACACAGCCTATAGATTGAGAAAAAATGGGAATGTTTTGAGCAAGTGAGAGTTCAAAGGATTGAGATTGTATTTTGAGAAAACAGTTTACCTCTGTATAATGTACTTCGTGTTGGTGTGTATCCAGGTGTTCCAGTAGGTGGAATCTTGTCAATGGAAGTTGCAGAACCAAAATCCCCAAGCTTTACATTGAATTTCTGCAGAAATTGAATATGTTGCTTATGAATAAAGTATAGATACTTAATTGCTAATGTTCTGTTTTGTCTGTTACTTCTTTACCTTATCCAATAGTATATTTCCTGGCTTTATGTCATTATGTAGTGCTTCTGGCTTCTGTTCATGCATGAATGCCAATGCAGCTGCTGTTTGCTTGAGTACTTTAATTGTTTGACCCCAATTAAGCTCTGTCAAAAAAGGTAAAAATGTTAGATTTATACCCTAATTTTTACATAGGGATTGTTAGTTGATTTAGTAGTTTACCTTGTAGTTGGGTAGCCACGGTGCCAGTCATGAGCTCATAGACAACAAATAGTTTTCGAGCATCCTTGTCATCGCCAAAGTGAATCATTTTGATAATATTATCATGGTTCAACTCATTTAGGTATTTGGTTTCAGCCTGCATGATATTTATATGATATATTAGATATAGGATTATGCAGGGTAGTAAAATTTCATGTTTCCTTTTACCTTCCACTGCAGATATATCACAGGCTCCTGGGGCTTATAATCACAAACTTTGACAGCAACATCCTTGCCTTCCAAGTTGATCTGATATACGGTACCAGCCCCCCCTCTTGCAAGCTGTTGGTCTTCCCTGATGAGAGGTTCAATCATTGACCAGGGAATTTCGGTAGCTTTTGTTTTCTTGTCATTCCACTCTGCGTTTTCCTTACCTTTCCTAGAAAATTTAAGCTGGTCATAGTTATGATAATAGTTTATTCATTGACTTGTATGCAAAAAACTCGCACAATTTCAGAATTTGTTATATCAGAAGAACATGGATTCATCTGTAGGCCACAAAACAGAGATTCACTTAAAGCACTTCCTACCATATAGAGAATCTAAACAGTCATAGCTTCAGTAAAACTAGTAAGTATGCAGACCATATGTACTTTCATTTGTAGGCTACAAAACATGGATTTCGCCTAAAGCACTACCCACCTTCTGTTTACTATGTATTTTCCTAATACTATGTTATAAAAAATTATTGCGTAATTTAGATTGGCTTGGAGTGAACTACACAACAGGCCAAATTTTATACTAGAAACTTCTGTATGAGCAGGGAATCTCCTAATTTTGGGGCTCTTCCCTTAGTTCAACTATTTCCATTTTGCATTTTGCGTAGCTCAAACTATAAAATAATAGGCTTATTTTGCATGTTAGACTATTACCAATGTGATGCTAGTGATGAATTGAAAGGTAGAAATTAGTTTAGCCACCGGTGATTAGGTGTAACGCAGGAAATAAAAGCCCACGTTGCAGAATGAAAAAGGGGATGCTAATTCTAAGGGAGAAAATTCAGAAACGAAATCAAAATTCCAACACATAAACCCTTAACCTGCTAAGGGAAAATGATTGCAGAAGGAAAAGGGGATGCTAATTCTAAGGGAGAAATTCAGAAACGAAATCAAAATGCAAACCCATAAACCCTAACCTGCAAATGGGAAATGAATGGATAAATTTCAACGGATCAACTCAAAATGTAAATAGAAGTAGTAACTTGCCTGCTACTGGATGCTTCAGCCTTGCTGCTCATCTTTGGGCCGTTGGCTGGTTGGGTACTTCACTGTTCTTTGATGGAGGTTGAATTTCCAGCTTCTCCTGCACCAGAATTTCTATTTCTGCCGTTTTTTTTTATATGTTATATTGTATGAAAATATTATAATTATAATGTTATGTAATATTATAAATTTACATCTATGAGGTGTCACTATATAATTGATTTTTTTATTTAAGAATTTACTTATAATATTGAGTATTAACACGTCGTTATTGTAGGTATTGACACGTCATAATTGTAAGTTTACAACTGTAGGTAACGTTGTAACCAATCCTTGCCGGATATTATATGTTTCTATTTTATTTTTCTTTTCTCAGAAATTGTAAAATCCTATCTGGGCTTAGAAGAAGGATCAATGCAGTACACAGTTGTTGCTCGATGGACTAATGCCATTTTCTTGTAAAATCAAGTTGGCCCAATCTGTTGACGAATTAAGATAGAGGGGTCGACTCGATTGTTGCATTGATTGGTATAAAATGAAACTGAAATTTTCTTTTTGTTCACTGAAAAACTGATTTTTTTTTTTTTTGGTTTAAAAATTAAGTCAAATATAATATATGAAATAAGTCGAATTCCGTAGAGAAAAAAATAATGTTTTTGAATGATATGTAAAGAAATTATTATAAAATTTCACATATAAAGGTGATTTAACCTATGGAAATACATGTTGAAGCTTTGAAATTATAGGAATTTCTTTTTTTTTTTCCTTTTTTAATAAAGGTATTTAGATTTTTGGCGTGACGAATTCTAGAAGCACTACAAATCTTCTCATACAGAGTAACGCTTCATCTTCAAAAGTTGAGCGTGGCTCCTTGCATCCAACTTGATAGTGGAGGGATTCAAACTTATATTTTCAACATGATTTTGGTGTCTTGTAACCACTTAATCCAATGTCAGTCGGTTAAAATAGATTTTATTTAATT